GGAACACCCCCTCCCCCCCCCCCCCACCCCACGGGAGCCCTCTATGTGGTAATTTTCGACTGTATTTCGAAATATCGCCTTGAATTTTGTTGTCTCAACCAGATTCTGTAGGTCATATACCGTATCTTGAATTTACAAGACATTACTTTTCGGAGTGTTTTATCTTGTATTTACATTAGTCATTACCGCTTGGACGTTCTCTATTGCTAAGATAAATCTTTCTTGGTATCATCCCATAATTTCCTTTATTCATCGCACTCCGCCCTCCCTTTGTTGGAGCTTTTTCCCGTTCTTACTTCTTACCCTGCTTTTTTCCCTATATCACTCTGCAAAATATATATAGAATTTACTCAAAACACCAGGAGTGAAAGTGAAAATGATGTTAATTAAACCAAATTGCATATTTACTTTCAAACAGGAAGTGTAACTCAAAGTGCCGTACGCGTTTGCCAAAGCCACGTTCAAAGCCACCCCCATGTGGAATTCTACACCAGTAAACATTAGAAAAAGGAAAATTCTATCAGGTTTTCAAAGGAAATCGCTTTTAAAACCACGTCACTCCTCCTGGCTAAATATTTTACGAGCTTCCGGCCATCAGACCTACAGACTTTAATTATATATAGTCTTTGACCTGTGATCTAATATAACAGAAAACTCATAAATAAAAATATTTGGTCTGAGAACATTGCGATTCTTTATGTATAATCTTGGCCGCGCATCGTTCACATTCTTTACCTAAAATTTTATATCTGCTGATCTGGATGCTTATTAATTATTTAATACACGCCCATTTATGGAAATCAGCTTTAACTAACAATGTTAGCGTTTTTTATCATTCATTCAAATAAAGTTTATCAATGATTACCAGTGAGCTCTCTGTATAACTGGAGCAAGGACTTCAGGATCAGGTTAGGCAAAAAAAAAAAATATGTGGGTTTCCGGTTTCCCGACCCTACCTAGCTTTTGGCCGTCGAAATCCCGACCCTAAACTTTTTTATTGGATCATGGTTGTAAGTGTTTCCACTTAGAGGAAAAAGTTTGTGGAAAATTGAAATTTGAGGCAATATTAGGGAATTTATCTTTGTATGTGGAAGCACTGACTAAACAAAATGGCGTCCGCTTGTTCGGAAAATTAAAAAAAAAAGTTAAAAAAAAAAGTTAAAACCGACCTACCCTACCTAAGTTTTTATAAGAAGAAACCGGAAACCCACATATTTTTTTTTTTTGCCTTATCAATAATGTGTACATGTCTGTATGATGATATACGTCATACATAAAAGTGCACCTGTATGAAATGTATGATGATATACGTCATAGATTCAAGGATGCCATGGTGTACTGACTTCTGGTATTCCAATTCGTCCTCTTCATTTGTATATGATGTGTATCATCATACGGTCATCCTTGAATCTATGATGTATATCATCATACAGGTGCAATTTTATGTACGATGTATTTAACAAATAGATTTTACTGTTGTCTGTTCAGTCATAGCATGGACTATGGCATGGATACACAGTATGACGTCATTATGTGGGAGGAACAAAAAAGTGGGCACGAGCCGCCGAGACGAGTGGGTCACTTCTTGGTTCTTCCCACAATATGATGTCATATACTATAATAAAAGGAAAACCCCCGAATTAAACAGGTAAATAGCTTACATTTTAACCACCCAAATATTTGGAGATTTGAAAAAGTCGAAATTTTACAAACACATGTCACGCGTGCATGATCTATACAAACTGAAGGAATGCTATTGGATAAAGTTTCGTGTGCCGTAATTAAAAACTAAAACGTCTGTCCTAGATCACGACTCCCGACCAATGAAAGCGTTTGATTTCTTAACGTTATTATATAAATCATCATACAGACACATTGATAACCTGACCCCCACTAACCGAAGGCACCTAACCCATCTAACCTCTCACCTTCATGGGGGTGGAAGAACAAAAAAAACTTCTCAACCTGGCGCGACCTACCTCCCAGAGGTGTGCAAATCCGATCTGATCCGAATCCGATCGGATTTCGGAACAAAAATACACATTTCGGATCGGATTGTTTCGTAGTCGGATCGGACTTCGATATTCGAAAAAAAATGAATTAATTATCCACACATTATTGCAAGAATTAATTGTCCATGCATTTATCAAAGCATTATCGCGGTTGTCGCTGCATTTTTCGTTTGATACTTCAATTGGACGTCACTTTGTCAGCTTCTTGACATGTATTTCTTGTTTTTATATTTATTTGGTTAAACATTTCAACTTGAATGAGAAACTTATTTTGTTAAAGGATTCTTCGGATCGGATTGAAATTCTTTATCACAACTCGGATCGGATCGGATTAGACAAATTCGGATCGGATTTTAAACATTAGCCAATTGTTGGATTATAAACGTCCAATCCGATCCGCACCTCTACAGTACCTCACTTCTAAGCTTCTAAGGTGATTTGTCTTGGGCGCGCTTGTGAAGTATGAGTGTATGAAGATATACACAGGGCCGTCCTCAGGAAATTCTTCAGGGGGGGTGTAAGGTCATTTCAACCGACTAGTTCCGAAAAAAAAATTTCCGCATTCCTGCCGACTAATTAGTATTCCTGCCGACTGAATACAATTTGTGGGGGTGTCACCCCGCCCCCCCCCCCCGTAGCTCCGGGCCTGGATATACATCATAAGGATGAACAGACCATGTTGCCATGTTGGGTATTCACATGTTTGTAAGTTGTAACTGGGAAAGAACGAAGGATTTTTTTATCGTGAATGAATATAAGGAAAGAAGAAAGAGAGGGAGAATGTAATCCATATGATATGACGATACGGAAAGAGTGAAAAAACAAAGGTTGAAAAAATCTTCTCTTGACGATCAGGGTCGTCGCAAAGAGATTTTAAGCAGAGGCTGTGGGTGTTACATTTGCCGACAAAATACGAGGTTTTCTTCAAATTTGCCGCCAATTGTTATACATTTTACGAAACATGTGTCGACGGGAGAGGAGGGGGGTAGGGTGGAATTACACAAAAAAATATTACAAAAAATATTTATTACACAAAATTTTTTTCTCCAAAAATTGCCTTCGGATTTGCCGACAAATTCATCATTTTCTGACAACTGGTTTTCAGGGGGGTGTCACTCCCCCCCTAAAAAAACCTCCCCTGATCCTCCGCGACGGCATACGTACCAAAACATCCAGTCACGTGGGAAAAGGCCTGGGACTACGATATCATCGGCCTTCTTCGGCCGGAGCTCGGGTCCGAACGATTTGAAATAAACAACAAATGACTCATAGTTCACGAATATTTTCCCAAAATATAATTTTTAGCGCTATAAAAACAAGAGATCGAGTACAAGAATGACTGAAAGAAGATCAAGGCGTAGAAAACGAGAGGTAATCTAACTAAATTCTATAAGACAAAAGAGAATATTTTGAGAATGTATAAACGCGTGTCTCGCAGTGCGAGTCAGTGAGTGACTGTGAGATTACAATATCTTTTCAATTTTCCTCAAATTTACAGTCCGAATCCGAGGACGAAGAGAACGAAGCTAGCGATGAACAAACCGAAATTGCAAAGCATCTTCGTTTCAATTGTGAAACGAAATCCTCCAACTATAAGAGCCAGAAAGTCGAATATTTTAAAGGTACCGTGTCAAGCGCCCGATTAGTCGATTATTCTTGATAATGTTGCAGGATATAGATTCTTCAAATGTACGTATTCCAATTTAATTCAAGACCGTAATGACTAAAAATTGTACCGTATGATTTCATATGATCTATCAAAGGCCAATTTATATATTCAATATTATTTAAAATTACTTTATTTGAGCAAATGCTTGTCTGACATTTTACAGACATTATTTATTATAGACATACCAACTCTTCCTATTTCCCCTGGAGTCTCCCGAAAAATCATGCGAACTCCCGATTTTTTATACTATTCAACGTCGGCAACGAACATCATAAATCGTATTCATCAACCTACTGTTTTTAATTTAGCAACGCGATATTCTGTACTTACATAAAATAATACTGGACTGCCTGGCTAACAACACGAACGCATTATAAACAACATATTCCTCAAATGCAGGAAATGCCATTTCAGGAGACTTCATTTTCACCATTTCCTCCAGATAGTTGCTCTTCGAACTTATTTTCCTTTGAAGCTCTCTGAACAGTCTCCCTAATAAGTAATTTTTAAGCTTCAGACCAGTGGCAGGAATGTTTGTTGTCTGAAATTTACTATACGACCGCAATATAAAGTTAGCCATGTTGGCTGTTAAAAAAACACTTTATAGAAGTGCCTGATAAAAAAATTGTAGTATATATATATTAAAGTGCTGTGAGGGCCAATTGTATGTTTATATAGGATTATTTATAGGATTATTCAATGTTTATAATATGTTTGTGAGAAATTTAGAACATTTTGATCCAATAAAAAATTGGTTAGATGCTACGAAGTAGGTAGCATTGCCTTAACCGTGTGTTGTTATTTCAAAGTCCGAAGACTTTTCTCGTCCTTATCGAGGGAGATGCTAACCTTCTCTCGGCTCATACAACACAATAGTATATTGGTTGGTGTTTTGTATTTATATACTTAACGTTTTATGTGTGTAGTCATTGTGGGAGGGAAATTAATTTATGCATAATTTATGCATGCGTTACTGCACATGTGCAGAAGTGACAAGACTATACTACATATTATTTAGGTTCAAAGGCTATCGACTGTCTTCTCGACTCAAAATGGGCAAGTGGCAAGGGAGGAACGGAAATCTTGTTCACAGACAGAGAATCTGTTCAAGATTATCTTCAAGAGTATGCCAAACTAAATTTATTTTCCTGTTCAGTATACAGATGTATTGAATTGAATATTAGTATGAGCTTTTTCAGTATACCAAAATTTTTGATATGTCAAAATCATTTATATTGCTGTACCACAAACAGAGAAACGGTGTTTCAACTTTTCAAGACCAAAATCTCAACTTCAATTTTTCACTAACGAATTTTCCTGTCTAGTTAAAAAGTCCGTCCCAAAACGGTAACCAGATACTGATAGAATCGATGTGACTTTTCCAGTATATCAATACAAGACATTCACATCGAACATCCCACAGTGGTGCTATACAGGAGAAAGTTGGAGTACCATGAGAAAACTTATGGAGAAAACCTACAGAGTCAATCTGGAAAAATGTATCTAAGATCCAACTGATGCAAAATTATGACCAAGAAATTGTATTTTGCAACAGCTGAAGATATCCAACGCCACTTACAGAGGTTGAAGGCACCTGCATGCATTATCACCGAACACACTATTTAACAATTATTCGCCGAAGGCGATCATCGGGGAATATTCGCCGAGACGAAGTCGAGGTGAATATTCCCCGATAATCACCGAGCCTGAGGCGAATAATTGTTTTAGTATTTTTACACAAGTCTTTTGTGTTTTTGGGCCTGAATTTGTTTTAATCAGTTCGCTTATTTCTTTATCAGTAACTACCACAAAACGGCTAGCCACCATTTTGAAAATTTCAGTTTTGTTATATTCACCTTAATACGTCAAATTTGACCAAGCAACGTGTAGGATTTGTTATGTTCACTTGTGCAAAATACTAATAAACAATATTTAACAACTATTCACTGAAGTGCATGGTGGTGAATAGTGCAAGAATTTTGCGACTTGTTGCGTCTCGGTGAATATCCTTGCAATATTTACCAACGCTGAGGTGAATAATACTTTTAGCATATACCATAACAAAACAAAAATGACCAAAAAGCAATGAATATATTTTTAAAACAGTTCCTATAACAGCTACCGTGTAATAGTTGTAAACAAAACAGTATTTACAAACTTTTAGTAATTTTATTTATTACAAAATAACAAAATAAAATGATACTTCTACACAGTTTATTAACAAAACTTTGTAGCTTCCTTCGTGTTTGGTGGTGGAACCGCGTTAGTAAAAAAAAATTCTCGTCTGTAACCGGAACAAAATGGGAACACATTTTGTTTTAGTCCGGATCAATCCATGCACCTCCCGAGTATATGCTAATAAATAAAGTTCGCTAGCGGGAAATACGTGACCAAATATAAAGCTCTAACGTCAGTATTAGAAATTATTCCACCCTTGATGTCAAACAAATAGCTCATTATGTTTGTGATGTTACTCTGAGTGTGCATCCACACCGGGCAAGCTGAAAAGTTTGCTTGGCCACGGTGGGAATCGAACCCGCGACCTTTGGGATATTAGTCCAATGCTCTGCCAACTGAGCTACCTGGTCAAGTCGGTTCGAGTTAATGATATTTCGGAACTGAGTCTAGTTCCTTCGATATCAGTGTATTCTATGATATGATTTTTTTGTGTGTTGTTGGTGTCATAACACCATATTCATATCATAGAATACACAGATATCGAAGGAACTAGACTCAGTTCCGAAATATAATTAACCCGAACCGCCTTGACCACGTAGCTCAGTTGGCAGAGCATTGGACTATAGTATCCCAAGGTCGTGGGTTCGATTCCCACCGTGGCCAAGCAAACTTTTCAGCTTGCCTGGTGTGGATAAACACTGAGAGTAACATCACAAACATCATATTCACGTGAGTACACATAACACCAACAATAAAAAAGAGCTCATTAACATGCGGAAGGTGAAGTGTGAAATACAAAAAAATGGGGAAGATCAGATTAAAAAAGTGTAGCAAAACACAAAACGTTCCGAAATAGCAGTAAAGCATAATAAATGAAAGATGATTAAATTCTTGGAAGAAGCCTGAGATTTTCCCATTATATTAGATTCTTGCGGAAACGTTTGCGCAAAAATGAAGAGGTATAACGTTTAAATTATGTAACACATAAACATTGCATTCATTAGTTTTTTAGAATTAGGGATGTTCAAACGTGTGACAAGAGTTAGAAAAAAGAAGAAAGGTGAAAAAGATGAAGCAAAGAAAGGAACCAAGGATAACAAAGATTCACCAAAACCTGGCAAGACCAAAAAGGTTTGGTTAGATAATTATTTAGTCTCTTGAAATTATCTTCTATTATAAAAAATTTCTTCATTATTCAACAGCTCCATAAATAAAGAATGTTCATTTCTAAGTTGGCTTCAATTATGGAACTTTATTTGACGTTTCCAAATGTAATCTAGCTAGCTGGTTCATTTTAGACTTTTCTCTTTATAAACTTTTGATGAGTTAGAAAAGACTGTAAAAATATTTATCTCTGAAATGTGTCATCTTTTGTAAACTTTAGGACTCAAACGAAGGTAAAAATGTGGAATCCGATGGCAAGAAGATAAAGGTAAGAGTGTATGTTTTTTGCCTCGCGTATTTTTTGAAGAAAAACGTTTAAAACCTAACCCAGTCAAAGGCGTTCTACATGTTGTGCCACTTTATTTTACCATCAATATGTAGCTGGTACAGTTGTCCACCTTTTTCAATGGATATGGAATGGCACAGGGCTCGAAATAACGTTCCCAACGTTCCAGATCACGGCGATCGGCATTTGCCCTCATTTTCTAAATACGCCATTAAATACACATCTGAACAGGAAGTTAATTTCAAATTCGAGTTTAAATAATTAAATCTATGACATTTGTGGACTTACAATACTGCATGACAATA